TCTTCCTCTTCCTCCCAAACATCTTGTTGTTGTAGGTAGAAATCGCCATTTCTAAAAAATGGAAAACTGCTCCCAGAGAGCCCTTGCCTTCTTGTCCCTCTTCCTTTAATTTTTCAAATTCCATTTTTAATTCATCCACGGATAATGCCATTTTTCTTTCTTTTTTAAAACAACCCAAATGTTTTTAATCTTAGAATAATTTCCAAACGTCCCAAAGTCATCAATCAATCCAAACAGACACGAAATATTTCATCATCTTCCCTTTGCACTTTCTCCTCCTGGGGCAGTATCCATTACAAGTCTCAAAATGTATTTTAAAGCCTTATTACAATTAGTTTCTGTTCTTATAATCTTCAAGGCGTCTCCTCCAACAAAGTCTTAATAAAAAAAAATATTTTTTTTTTAGTCCTCTCCCTTCCCACTTACAACAAAGAGCTTTTGGTTTTTACCTTCTGTAAAAAAGCAGGTTTTTCAGTGTCCATTTGCTATCTCCGTAAGGAAGGAGAGTGAACTTTCCCTTTTAGAACTTTCGTTCGCCGCTCAACAGCCTCCTTTGGAAACAATATATCGTTGAAAAAGTCAGATTTCCGGGGTATTTAAATGAGTCTTAATGTCCCGGTTCAGCCAGAAAAACTTTCACTTTCTAATTCTTCCTCCTGCACAAATCTTGTCCGGTTGTAGATTTCTTTGTGGCGGCCATTACTGACCGCCGCTCCGCCGCCTCTGGAAAAAGGAGTCTAGCCGGCTGGGGAAAGGGGTTGCGATGTCCCCAGACCCCTATCCGGATCTACTCTATCTTCCGTTACCCCTCCGGGGTAACGACAACCCCCAAATCCATTCGGATCGGGGGTACTTCAGCAGCGAGCGCAGCAGGGACCCGCAGAGTCGCGGATTCCTGCCGCCACCGAAGCCTTGCAACCGGAAGTCCAGTGATAGATCATTATTGTAGTCATTGTAGAATACATTCATCATGAAACATTTGATACAATACTTAGTGATAGTCGTGGATACTAAATAAGCAATCAACATAAATCATAATAGAAGCTTCTAGTGGACTATAGAAGGAACAGATCAAATATCCAGCCCTTGCTTATCAAGGGAGACCGAGTGAAGCAAGTGGCCAGTTTTAAGTTTCTGGGTGTTACCCTAAAAGAGGACCTGACCTGGGGGGGGCTCACATTGCAGCCCTGGTCAAAAGGGCCCAGCAGAGATTATACTACCTGAGGCTTTTCAGGAAAGAACCACTGAATGGAAAACTGCTGGTGACCTTCTACTGCTGCACCAGAGAGAGTATGTTAACTTACTGCACCTGTGTCTGGTTTGCCAATTGCACAGTGGCAGATAGGAAAGCACTCCAGAGGGTTAACGTCATTGCCCAGAAGATCATGGGTTGCCCTCTCCCCTCTTTGGAAGAGCTCCCACTGCCTTAAGAAAGTTCAAAACATTCTCAAAGATCCATCTCATCCTGGGCACTCCTTTTTTTGAAGTATAACCACCTGGCAGACAGTACAATAAAAATAAGGACAAATAGGCTGAAAAACAGCGTCTATCCCTGGGCAATAACTCTATTTAATTCTACTATATAATGCAATATTAATGCAATATCAGGGGTTTTCAATTCAGTTGTACAGAATGTGAAGGATGTGTGTTTGTGTTTATTTTCATAGTCACAATATACACTAAAGATGGTATTTAATTTCGTTGTACCAGGTGCAATGACAATAAACTAAACTAAAAAACTATTAAATAAACAATATAAATTGTAAGATACAAGCAACAAAGTTATAGCAATAGCGCTGAGACTTATCTACCGCTTTCCAGCCCTCTCTAAGAGGTTTACAGAATCAGCCTCTTGCCCACAACAATCTGGGTCCTCGTTTTACTGACCTCGGAAGGACGGAAAGCTGAGTCAATGTTGAGCCGGTCAGGATCAAACTCCTGGTAGTGGGCAGCGTCCAATGCTGCATTCTAACCACTGTGCCACCGTGGCTCTTATTATAGTCATATTTGGATTCTTTGACTCACATTTATGACGGTCGCAGTGTCCCAGGGTCACGTGATCCCCTTTTGCAACCTTCTGACCAGCAAAGTCAATGGGGAAAGCCATATTCACTTAACAACCGTGTGACTAACTTCACAACCGCAGTGATTCACTTAACAAATGTGGCAAGAAAAAAATCCGAAAACGGGGCAAAACTTAACAAATTTCTCACTTAGCAACCTAAATTTTGGGCTCAGTGGTGGTCGTAAGTCAAGGACTGTCTGTATCAACTGGGAAACTGACATGGGAAGGTGGCCCAGGACGTCCCATATAAGTACTTTGCATCCTGGATCTGCCATAAATTGAGCTTTCGGCCTTGATTACATTGCCAAAATCCGTTTTATTTTCGGGCCGTCAAACCAAACCCAATCTCGTTCTCTCTTTTAGGGCGTCAGAGCAGAACGAGGCCGGTCTCAGGACGCTGCAGGCACAGATCACCGAATACAAGACTCTGTCTCAAGCAGCAGAAGTGGAACGCGACCACCTGATAGAGCTAGTCAGCATCCTACAGAAAAGGTACCCTGGGCACAAAATTCCCTGGATTGTTTTGAAACTCAAGAGTCCCTTGTCCCAAATCGCTCAGGTGTTGAGACCCTGGAAGAAGTGCAGAGAAGAGCAACAAAGAGGATTAGGGGGCCAGAGGCTAAAGCATACGAAGAACGGTTGCCGGAATTGGGGGTGTCTAGTTTGACGAAAAGAAGGACTAGAGGGTGACAGGATAGCTGTCTTCCAATATCTCAGGGGCTGCCCCAAAGAAGAGGAAGTCAAGCTGTTCTCCAAAGCACCTGAAAAGGCAGGACAGGAAGCAATGGATGGAAACTAATCAAGGAGCGAAGCAACTTAGAACTAAGGAGAAATTTCCTGACAGTTAGAACAATTAATCAGTAGAACAACTTGCCTCCAGAAGTTGTGAATGCTCCAACACTGGAAAATTTTAAAAAGATGTTGGATAACCATTCGTCTGAAGTGGTGTTGGGTTTCCTGCCTAGGCAGGGGGTTGGACTAGAAGACCTCCAAGGTCCCTTCCAACTCTGTTATTCTATTCTAAGTGTTAATATCACTTTATAATGCTTTGGTAAGAATACATTTGAAATATTGCATCCAGTTTTGATTGCCGTGATGTAAAAAAAATGTCTCAGTCAACCCAACCCTATTTCTTGGTGGTCTCCCATCCATTTAACGCCCAAAGCCAGATTCTGCATCTCCCGGGAAACATTGACCATTCTCTTTCGGCTGTTGAGTCGTCATCGTTCATGAGGTTACAGGGGTGTTCGCCTTTCTGACGGTGCATGCGTGCGATGTTTGTGTCTCCAGGGTGGACGAGAGCATCACGAAAGTTTGGGAAGCAGAGAAGAAATTTCAGGAACAACAACACAAGTATGTCGTTCTTGAGCAGCAGTTTGCAAAGCTGAAGATGGAATCTGGGAAGACAATCGTGGCCTCCAAGGCTCACCCAAAAACCAAAGCAGGTAAAGTTGTTGAAAGCATCTAGAACAGTGAAACTTCATAGCAGCCCTGCGCAAAACTTGACCGGTGAAACTTCCACGCAGCCGAGGAGAATTTCTTCCCCTAGTGGCCGACAAGAGAGTCCCAAAATAAAGCAAGATGGTAGTCGCAATTGCACAAAAACCCACCCTTTTGAATGGAAACATAGTGCTCGACTCACCACCAGTCACTTAGTAACTGTTCAAAGTTACGACGAACTCCCCCGGAAGAAGTTACGGCTCAGTTTCAAAGTTCCAATGGCCCCGCCCTTTTCCCTTGTGGTCATGTGACCGATTTGGGCGCTTGGCCGCCATCTTTCACTGACGGCCATTTGCAATGTCCCGTGACTGCGATTTTGGGCCATTTCCCCCTGCAAAAAGCCAACATATACTTTTGGTTTCCAGGAAAAAACCCCATTGGGTGTAATGGGTTCGCTTAATGGCAACTGGAAAAAATGGCCACAAAATCAGACGCTGTTTGGTCACAATCGTCATGACTGATGAACATGATTACAGGATCAGTTATGGTCATAATTTGAGGATTAACACATATGTGCATTTTCCTCCAGATTACCCCATAATAATAATGAAAAAGGATTTGCTTTAGGACTGCAGTGTTCGATGGCAGTGTTTACTTAACAACAGCAGTGTTTGCTTAAAAACCCCTGCAAAAAATCTAATAAAATCAAGTCCACACAATGAATGACCTTCTGAACAGCAATCATGTCTTATGACTGTGATAACCAACCTCAATTACACTCATACATGAAGGATTATTTGTAGGCGGGTGTTTTTCAATCTTGGTGACTTTAGGATGTGTGGACTTCAATTCCCAGAATTCTCCAGCCAGCTGGGGAATTCTGGGAGTTGAAATCCACATGTCTTTGCTTCTCGGCTGAACATATGAATTTTGATACTTTTCATAAAAGTTTAGGATTCAGTGGGTTTGTGGGCAGCCTTCAGGATGACTATCCCTGTTTAACGACATGTCTTGTCTCAACAGCTCCGCCACTCAGCAGCACCAAAATGAGCTGGAACGCCGGGGATAAAAAGGATTTGCCATCTGCCCAACTTTCTGAAGTGCCTCTGGAATCTCAGTTAGAGGAACTGTCCACACAGTGAGACGTTTAATAATTTTTCCCCATTTTTTTTTAAGTCAAAGCTCTAAATTAGATTTAAGCAGGAATACAAGAAAGGGAAGGAATGATTTCTGCTAATACAGGTAGTCCTCATCTTACGACCACAATTGAGCCCAAAATTTCTGTTGCTATGCAAGACAATTATTAAGTAAGTTTTGTCCCATTTTACAACCTTTCTTGCCATGGTTGTTAAGTGAATCAGTGCAGTTAAGTTAGTGGCACAGATGTTGAGTGAATCTGGCTTCTCCGTTGACTTTGCTTGTCCGATGACCCATCATAAATATGAGTCAGTTTCCAAGCATCCAAATTTTGATCACATGACCATAAAGATTGTTAGGGATATACACCCTAGCAGAACCTGCAGGGCAGGCAGGCAGGCAGGCAAATATGTGAGATAAACATTGTTGTAGCTTACACTCAATAAAAACAGATACACAGTGCTAGTTAAATAGTTTATTCCAGTAAGATTGTTAGCATAGTCAAACAGTCCATATATCATACACTTAGTTCAGTCCGTCCGGGGATTAATCAGTTGCAAAGTCCAGTGTCGAAAAAGAGGTCAT